TAATTTGAATTACAATACATTACTGGAGATTTGGCACGGATGTGACGATCATGCGAATTTCGACGATAGTCGTGCAAATTCATGCTAAATGATGGTGTGGTTCAATTTTAGAAATTTGAAAATTTTCACTATGGGGYGGTGCTGGCGAAACGCCCAAATTATTGGAAACGATTTCGCACGGAAGTGACGATCGTGCGAATTTCTGCGATAGTCGTGCAATTTCACGCTAAATATACGTGCTAAATGATGGTTCTATAAAAATATAAAAATTTCCTTTTTTTTGGTCGGGCGGTGTTGGCGAAATGTTTCACCAGCACCGCCCGTTGATTTTTACGATTCCGGAGACACCGATGTCGTGCAAATTGCAAAATTAGTCACGTAAATTCATGCTAATTGCGTGCTAACTGTTGATGAAATAAAAGGTCAAAATTTTTTAATGGGCGGTGCTGGTGCAACGTACGTCTGAATAAGAACCATGTCAATTTTATTAAATAATACATTTTTAAACATTTATGATTAACTCTTATTGGTTACTTTTTGAATATTTGTACGAATTTTTTTTCAGAATTGTTATAAACAAGAAAACCCCCTACTAAAGATTAACATTTTTTAAACTGAGTTCAGTTGATATTTTTTTCCATATTAACTTTTAACTTATCGAGTTAATATTATAAATCTAATGAATCACTCGTTTAAAGCACATGTTTAAAATGTTAAATCAATTACTATTTAAAAAAAAATAAAATTATGTTGGTAATAGCAAAATTTAAGAATTATTGAGGCTCTTATCATTTTTCGAACAACTACCAAGTTCCGGTTTTTATCGCTAACCACGTCGGTCTTAGCCTAACYGTTTCGCTAACTATCAAAACATAAAAACATCGAGATAGATAAACAATATTGAAAAGATAAACTAAACAATATTGTTTATTTGTTAATTGTTTATCTAACTCGAATCAKTCGAATCTCGATGCATAAAACGAACACATTAATTTAAGGTGAACATTGTGTTAATACTTATTTACTTATTGATAATTTGTTATTTAATAAATAATGACAATTCTATYATAAACAATATAAACTAAAATATCCAAAATATTCCAAACGCTCAAGACTCAAGTATACAATAACTAAAAATGAATCCATTAACGTGAGTACAACGTTTTTAAACTATCGTTTCTTGGTTTCTTACATATTATACATTTATGCTTTACGTTTTATTTTCTAGTTATATATAAGATTTTATGTAGTCTATCCTACTCRCTTACTAAACTATTGAACCATGAAAAGAACATAATTAATAAGGTGCCTACTTTTCGTAATTTTAAAAGTATTATAAAAAGAAATCATTCAGTCATTAAATTAATTGAATTAGAACTAATTTAATATCTGTTCATATGTTCGTTAATAACATTAAAAACAATATAGCTAGTTAAAAATAAAACATTACTACTAATTTTTTCATCAAAATCATGATGTGGATTGTGGATGACTGCTGTTAAATACTGCTTTAGTTCAATATGTTAACTTACCCCGGGTAAATAATGTAAAAAATCAAAAGTGATTGCTCTACCATTAATTTACCCAACTGGACAGATCCATAACACTATCTCCCCCAAGTTAACGGTTGTTTACAAATATTAAATATTTAGGCACTTTATAGTTTTATTCAAATACTTGCATTCAAAACTTTTAGTCTCATTAAGTCTTTCCTCCCTCCCAATATCCTTCTATGTTTTAYAAAATTATAGTTACAATTTTTGATGCATTGAATCTTATTATCTGTAACTTTTATACTAGGCATGTCAAAACTTAAAATATTTCAAATTCAMGTATGTATTAATGTTTATGACGTAAATTAGCTTTACATATCATAGTACTCATAGGCGTAATCTAGTATTACACTTATGGTATTAATAATAGTATAACTATACACGCCATCTCTAAGTCTATACCTAAATTATTTGTTTGAAATTCAGGCTTACTGTTGCTGGGTATATTTGAAGTTTCAAACTTCAAAATAAAAATTATCATTCAAGTTAACACACAATATGTTAAGTAGTTTAACAATAATTGATTTGAAAACTATGTACCTAATATTTTAATTTATAACATTTTCTTTATAATATAATTTCAGGTCATACAATATTACTGATAGACAATAACTAAGTATGTTTTTTATTAAATAGTATCAATTTATATGGTTGCTGTTTGGTTTATTAAAAAATAAAATAAACCCTAAAAATATTTAATTGAAAAATTATTATATAGTTCTTATAACAAAATGTAAGTTTAAATTAAAAACTTAAAAATATGCAAAGTGTTATATTTTAATAAGAGTGATTTTAATTGTGTAAATAGTTTATTCTAATACGTGTATGAATTTACATATAAATCCATAAATAMAACTTTATTATATGTTCATAAAATATATAATTTTTAGGTTCTGAGTGGAGCAAGGAATGTATTGATTTTACCAAGATGTGTGTGTTTTTTGTGTCTGTCATCTCGTTTTGGGGCTGTAAAAGTGCTTCGATTTTCAACTTCAATACCTCGTTTGATCAGAAAGTGAATCTATTTGGTACTTTGGGGGGTCAAAAGTAAAAAATTCTCAATATTTTTCTAAATAATCGGGATAAACAAACTTAAAATTAAAGGAAAAATGGGAAATTTTGCGCACAATCAGTTTTCGACATAATCGATTTTGGTTTTTGATGTAACATTTAAATAAATGAGCATAGGTGACATTTTCACCGAAAGTTAATAAAAGTATATTCTATCCACCATGCAATTTTCAAAAAATGTCAACTTAAGTTGAACTATTTATAGGCATATGCAATTTTCGATCATTATTAGTTTTTTTTAAATTAATATTGATAAAAATTTATTTGTTGGATAGAAAAGCTTGAAAATTTAATTCAAGACACCTAACMTATTGTTACAATAGCAGTTGAAAAATGAAATATATAGCCACAATTTTTTTTGTAARCATTCAAAGTTTAAATTTTGACAACACACGTAAAAATCACAAAAGTATACATATAATATTATTTTTTTCATTATCGCTGATAATTTCAGGACAACATGCAAATGATATTAATTCCACTTACCGACTACTGTAATAATCAGTGTCGGCCTGGTACTTAAAGGGCCCCGGATGCATTTCTTCAGAAGGGCCTCCAAATATGTTATTCAATAGAAATGATAAAAAATGCTTAGAAGTAGTGAAATATAATATTTTTAGTAATATTGGGGCCCCTCGACACAAATACGGCCGGGGGCCCCGGATGTGTTCGCGGACTAGCGGCCATGGCCACACTGGTAATAATAATGTATAATATATCCTTGACAGATAAACCGTCTGATATAATATCGTAGAATTCAAATTTAATTCCATCCATTACAGTAACCCACTTGTAATCTACTGTACAGCAGAGCGACATCCACGACTTACCCGCTTTTTTAATATAAATTTAAAATATTTTATTTATTACGATTGTCACATTTAAATGTATTATAATTTATAATTTATAACATCTGTTTTAATTCCGTACGAACATGTATGGAATGTTTGACTGATGATTCAAGTGTATATTGTAAGTAATTCTCCACTGAAAACCATTTGCCTAAGATATGTACAGCTGTTAAAACAGACCTAATAAAAATATATATACAAAAAATTTTCCACAGTATATTTCCYTTTCTCGTTATATATTTATCAAATTAATATTAAATAGTTTTACTTATGTATAAGTAAAAATATTCAGTATTTAAAATTATGTCTATTATCAACATTAATTAAATACTATTATTTTATGTAAGTACTGTTAAGTATTCATTGTATGCCTAAAGTTTATTTTTGTATTTTATTCTTTCAGAAATATGAGAAATGTGAAAAAACTTAGTGAACAAGAACTACAACGACTACCTAAAAGTTCATGGCATGATGAGTATAAGTCAAGTGCATGGATATTTGTTGGAGGATTACCTTATGACCTTTCTGAAGGCGATATTATGTCAATATTTTCTCAGTAATTAAATTTTGTTTGATTTACTTATCATATAAAATTATTGAATTGTTAATGAATTGTTTTTGATTTTAGGTATGGAGAAATCACTAACCTAAATTTGGTACGGGATAAAGACACTGGCAAACAAAAGGGATTTTGTTTTGTATGTTATGAAGACCAAAGAAGTACAATATTAGCAGTAGATAACTTCAATGGTACGCGTATACTAGGACGGATTTTACGTGTTGATCATGTTAAAGATTACAAACCTCCAAAAAATTCAGAACCTACTTGTAAAATTAAAACTGAAAAATTAGAAGATGATTTCCAAGTTAAAACTGAAATTAAAACAGAAGTGGAAATATCTTCGCCTCAATTTCGAAGAACAATTAGAACTCCAGAATTCAAACAAGAAGTCTGCACTCCAGAAATAAAAAGAGAAGTTTGTACTCCAGAAATAATTAGAAGTCCTGAATATGAAAGTAATAAAAAAAAAAAAAAAAATAAAGATAAGAAAAGGCACCATAGTGATCAAAGAGAAAGGTCTAGAGAAAAGTATAGAAAAAAACATAAAAGCGAACAAGATATATCTCGTGACAGAGAGAAAAGTAATAAACGATCTAGACATAGTCAAAGTCAAGAGAAGGATGTTAATAAAGATTCTAAAGCTAAATCATCAAAAAAGCACAGTAGTAGAGATAAATCATTTGAAAGGGATAGAAAGAAGTCCAAATATGATAGAAGAGAATATAATTACAAGGATTATGATAACAAGAGTAAAAGAAAAAATTGTGAAAAAGRTGATAATAATTATAAAAAATGAAAAAAGTTTAAAATTTTTATGTAAATATAATGTAAGTTTATGTCAAAACCAATACTTTTTAATTTAATAACTATATATTTATTTATTCTTTAATTTTCTTCAATGTTTTCAAAATTATTAGTTTCTTTTTCTTCCATTGTAGTTTGAATTATCAATGATCTTCTATTTGCTTGTGGAGTTGACCCACAATTGTCTTCTTTTTTCAAAATAGGTTTTTTCACATTAGCTTTTTTATGTAAGTAATTAAGTTCAAGAGTAGACTTCAATAAGTCAACTTTAGGGAGTTGCAACGACGCACTTCTAAGATCACTTTGGGATTTAGTTGCTGGTAGTAATTCTTTATCCAATGATGCCAAAGATCCGCGATGGTTAAATTTAATCATTAAGCTTAAACGTCTAGCCTCAGCTTCTAAATCAGACAAATCTTCTTTATTGTTTTCTTCGACCCCTTTAAGAGATTCTACTTCTGATGGTTCTAAATAAAAAAAAAAAAAATTATAAATAATATTCTTGTTAAATAATTAATACACACATGACACAAATACTATTCATTAAAATAGACAAAATTTACCAGATTTCTCAGTGTTAGTTTGATCTTCAAACTTGTGAAGCCACATACAATGTAATAAACCATATACAGTACCACTTAAAATTCCAAGTAATCCCATCAATCGAAAAGATTGTCTTGTTCCATAGGATCCAATTAAAAGCCCCCCAATAAAACTTCCACTTCCGCGACCTTAAACATTTTTAAACATTTTCAGTTTTGTTGATTGTGAAAAAAAAACAGTATAAATTACCAAGACTGAAGTGGGACATCCCAATGACACCAATAAGTGTTGCTAGAAGATTTTTAGGAGCAAGTAAAGCACAATATGTTGCAGCAGCTACCCACATTAAATGCACTGCCAAAGATTCAATTGCTTCAAAAGGAAACACCCACCATGGATCTCTGCAATAAAATATTGCGTACTATAAACTAATTATTTTATAAATAATCAATGTGACCTTACTCAATAAATGAATAACCCATTAATCTAGCTGCATGTGAAAAAAAGGCTATGACTATGATATTGACATGTCCAATTTTTTTTGATATTTTTTCTGCACCATACAAAAATGGAATACTACTAATTGTTGCCACAGACACTGTAATACCTATAAATTTGGTTTTATGATTTCAACTCTTTTTTTTTTTTTTTATAAAACTCACCTAATAAATAATTAGAAGCACCCAGTTCTTTTAGGTACAAAAATAAATATGACTCAATAAATCCCCAACAATTTCCAAGCATGAACAAAAAAAAAATAAATGCAGTTACATGCGGCAATTTTAAAAGTCTTAGCATGTCCTTTAAGATGTGATCTGCAGGCATTTTAATGCCTACCGGCATCATTAGTAATGTTACCATTGACAAGACAAGGAGAATATCATAAGTATAGAATGCAGATGAATAATCCGTGTAACCTAATATTTTATAACATTCATTACATATTTTATACTTTAAATTTAAGTTGTTAATATTTATAATGATTAATAACAGTATAAATAATTTTATCTGTAGTTTACCTATATCACATTATTTGTATACCTTTTTTTAAACTCATAGAATCAATTAGCCAACCCGTGAGTGGAGAGAATAATGCCATGCCTACAGTTGAAAATAACCTTTCTCTYCCAAACTGTCCGCCATACCTCTGAATAAGGCTTAAAGCAATAGGATCCATTACTGTGACTGACGCTGCTAACATAGTGGTACCTATGAATCGTAGGCCGAAATAAATCCAAAACACTTTCTCGTTTGAGGGTTTGTACTCGGGTGGACATCGTTCAGGTCCTCCTGTCCTATATTAAAAAAAATATTCATTATCAAGTATAATATAATAAAAACAATGTTGGATGAGACACATAAGTTGTACAATGAGGAATCTCATGATACCAGTATTATACTTGAGGTTATTTTTGTATGGTGTATACTATATTAAAATATTTAAAATCCTGAGTACACTGCGTAAGTGTGAAGGGGAGTGTTAACGGGCTGATACCCGCWCTCGATTGTAGTATTATTAAATTATTAGTTGAAAAAAAAAATATTCATTTCAAAGTTTCAACTGTCGTTAACTAGTGAATACTATACGGGGTGATTTATGAAGTGTAAAACACTCATTATTTCAAAAAGTGTAAATGTTTTGAAAATATCATTTTACATAGCTTCAAGTCGTTTACAAAACAACGTTTTTATTAAAAAATTATATTTTTAACATTTTTTTATCCCTATAATTTTTTTAGTATTTTACTTTTATGAATGACAACTTGTAATTTTAATTAGATATTCCAAATCAGAATATTTTTCTAAGTAATTATATGTATAAAAATTGAATTTAGGGCAAGTAGTTTACGAGATATACATAGGTATTTAAAGTTTAGATGAGTAGCGGAGTAGAGTGGTACGGGGTTACCCCGCGACATAATTGTCCACTACTTCACTCATCTAAACTTTAAATATTTATAATTCATAAGTAGAGGTCGGATTTTTATGATTTTACATATTTGTTTCTAGTCTATGCAGTTAAGTGGGAGTGAGAAATCTTTACGATTCATGAAACACAGAATTCATAGGAAAAAATGTATTTTGCATAAAAAAGCACATTTTATGGGTTAGAGAATATTTGAGAATATTTTTGTAATATCTGCATATTATAATGAATATATTTCACGTATATCAGCACTTTGATAGGTAAATGTTCACTAAATAATTCTGTTTATAAATAATTAATTTCTGGGCTTTAATAAAAATTAATCTCCAGGTAATCCTTATCGATTGCGATAACACGTAGGTTGTTTCGTTAGCTAAAATAAATTTAAACTGAATTTTTTTTTAATATTAAAAGAATATTTTGCATATTTAAGGACATACAGCATTATATATCTGGTATTTTAAAAGAATATTAAGAGAATATGTTGCCTAATTTATGCAACATAAAAACATAATATTTTAAGGATTTTAAGAGAATATATACATCCGACATAAGCTACTTGCCTTAAATTCAATTTTTATGTATCGAAATACCTAGAAAAATATTCTGTTTTGGAATATCAAATTAAAACTACATGTTGTCATTCAAAAAAGTAAAAAACTTAAAAAATTATGGGGATAAAAAAATGTTAAAAATATAATTTTTTAATAAAAACATGGTTTTGTAAACGACTTGAAGCTATGTAAAATTATATTTTCAAAAACATTTACACTTTTGAAAATAATGAGTGTTGTACGCTCCATATGAATCACCCTGTAGGTATAAGGACGTAATTTCACATACCGGATCATCTAGCCTATAGTCAACATAAAAAAAAAAATAATGGGACATTAGGTGAAAATTCTGCTGTACAGTATAGATGTTGAGTGGGTCAGAAATGTGTTAAATTTGAATTTAACATTATATCATCGTTTACAAAATCGATTCTAGTCTGATACGGTGTGTTAGTCTAGAACATTTTATATTACCTATATTAATATATTATATATTGATTTTAGTAATAAATAATAACTAGGTAATAATATAATAGTAGGCTGAATTAAATTTTGTAAAAACACTGTATTTTTTATAAAAAAATCAGATTATTTTTTGAGCAATTAATAAACCTCCTAAAGAAGTATAATTTGTAAAAACACTGTATTTGCTTACCAATTTTCTTAAATTAATCAGTAATTTTTTTATTAAGTAAGTATATATAAGTAAGTATACACTACTTACATTTAACTATTCTAGCTTTAGCTATATAAATTAAACATTTTATAAATTTTTAAGTTTTACCAATCGAGGTATTGTCAAAATTTGAACTTTTAATGCTTATATAAAATAGGCATGCCCATGTGTCGTTAATATTTTTAAATAGCTTCAATAAAAACTTATGAGGAACCTTGTATTATGTTTTTAATCTTTTTGACTGAATGAATAATCACATAGTATCACAAACATTTTCAAATACCCCCTAATCCTCTAAAATTAATAGACTGGAAAAAAAAAAAAAATGCAATTAATTTTCAATCCCCCTCCTCAACATTGAAAAATCATGCGTACGCCACTACATGCCTGTATATGTATAAGCCACATTGGAAATGTCATTTAAACGAACTAATCTATGTGTGGGTACTTATAATAATGCTGCAAAATAAACATCAAGCAATAATATCACTTTAGACAGGTATACCTGAAGATGCATTTTTGAAGCATACAATCCGCAGCGAGTTCTTTTAGTTTGTTATACGTTAAGTTTGTAGCCAGCACCCTGCCACCACAACGTAAATCATGATCGAGAAGTGCCGAAAAGTTTACTCCAGACGAAACCAACATATCCGACGAAAAGTGCTGACGGAAATCCGTTACTTGTTCATCTTGATCGAGTTCAGGTAGCTCCATTCCTGTATATAATACACGCCATWGACGTTTAATATAATCAGAACACAAAATATTATTGATAAATCGGCATCATGTTTTGAATACAATACATCAGATTTACCTTGGCCTGTCACCGGTTTCWTCAAAATACCTACTGGCTACTGTGGTTTTTATATATAAATCTACGGGCTACAGTGTCGGCCTGGCAATGGCCCTGAACGTATCCAAGGGCCCGCGGCCGAATTTGTGTCGAGGGGCCCTGATATTACTAAAAATATATTTTACTGCTTATAAGCATTTTTTTATAATTAAATGAATTAACATTTTTGGGGGTCCTTCTGAAAAAACGCATCCCGCACCCTTTAAATACCAGACCGACACTGGTTCTAGGGAATTATTTTCAGGTCGTAACATTATAGTAGGTACTATATTATTATAAAATAATATATGTATAGATGTTACATGACGTATAGTTTGCAGTGGTGTACTGRCAAATATATTTATGGGCATACGCACTAATAAAATAGGTATAAGTAACCTAAAAATATTTTTCTTGCTCCGCTCGACAATTTTATCTCTCACTGCTCGAACAAAATTAATTAATCTCTAATACGTTTAGAACTTACAGATAACTAATATTASGATCAAATTATATCATCGTATAGGTATAACGTTATTGCAATTGAATTAGTCTATAGTCTTAACATTATTTTATTAATTTTTTGATAATATAACAATAGAAGATAAAAAAAATCAACTCGAATTTCAAAAAAAAAATATTATATTAAATAATAATATTAATATTATACAATCTATAGAATTTTCCACAAAAWTTTTTTGTATTCAATATTGGGTTCATCGGTACGTTCAATACCTTAAAATATCTACTTCAATAGATAAATAATTCGTTAATACATCATAACGAATAATGATTTTTTACTATGAACTATTAAATACATTTTCAATCTTATTTGGTTTTCTGGTTATTTTAGGAGCGTATGTCCGCAAGGCCGTAAAATAAGATTTTACATTGGCCGGTGTACGCCGAACATMGAAATYTACTGACGGGTATATGAGGCGTATACCCACGTATCCGTACCAATTGTCGATAGCCAACCTAAAGTTTAGGTTTAATTTTAACACGTACTGTTTAAGAWATAAAACTTTTAGTTATTTTAAGGGTACCCAAAAAATTGTACAGTAAAAAAACAATTTATATTCTTTAATAATGAAATAGGACTATAGGAGATAATATTATAACTCRACGCGTCTACTGTCGACACCATAATATCATGTGCATAGGTACAATTCATGTTAATTTTTTCAATCTAAATCGGATCAGATGGACACTAGGCAGTGACGTATCTAAACTCTGAAACTGGGCCAATTTAATGAATGATGAAAGTGATGATGACATTTTTTTTTATGGGCGCTTGTGAATTGCGCCCACGTTGAGCAGGTGTTRAAATAGTATAGTAAATTGCGCCCATAGTACCTATCTAAAAAGGGCGCCCATCAGGGGGKGCAAGGGGGGGCATGTCACACCCATAGAAAAAATATTGTAATTGTAAAGTTGTTGAAATTGTCCGGATACCGGCCATTGCAATAGGTAGGTAATTAACGCAAATAAGAATAAGAATATTAGTAGGTAAACTAGGTATGTAACCATAATTTTTGATAAGTAGTTACTTCTAATTACTAATTAGTAATAGTATCTTGTACRGTTGTACCTACCTAATGTTTCAGTTGGATTCATAAGGCCTGGGTGCATGTCCAACACTACAAACACGGTGGCTTCTTTTTTGCTAGACGTATCGTTGATGTTGTTAAATCCGGCCCCAATATTGGCGATTTCTTTTACTGTTTCATTATTCAATAAAACGCCCATTCTTACTTTATTCTTCTTTGGTTCTGGTTTCTTTAAACTGTGAAATRTCAATTGACAGATATAATCAGAACCGTTGTTAGTTTRTTTTTATTCGTTAGGTATAGGTAGTTAARTTTGTACAGCTTTACCGTATTTACCCATAGGTATAKTATTTATAATAACACAGTATATATTACACTAAACCATAATTTATACATTGATACCTACTTTAATTTATAATGTAAATTCTTCAAAAAAAAAAAAAAAGATTTATATTACGTACTCAAATAATTACTTATTATAATATGTTTGTACAATAATATAATTTACGTTTTTATGTTTATAGCCTTATAGGCATATCGCAAATTATTTTATACTTATTTATCTAGGTTCTACTTCAGTTCTCAGCAATATAATTATTAGATGACCGATACTCACGTTTGTTTAGTCGCATTTTTAGCTTGTTTAGTTTTTTCGTAAATGAAATATAAATCCGGGTCGTCTATTCCTGGTTGGTGATTGTTAACAGGTGGTACTATACAATTTGGAAGTTGTTGCTGAAAAGTAAAAACTACAAAGTAAACAAATAATTGATTTGTACTTGAAGCTTTCTTCATTTACTAGTACATATGTAGAAGTAGAACCATAGAGATTTTTATTCTACTATACTCTAATTTTGATCTATTAAGTTTAAAGAAAAATTACAACTTACGTAGTTACATCTACTACACAGTTGTCAGTATATCAGTATATTACCTTTACCAATCTACTAGCTGTTTTCTATAAATGTCAGTAATATAGCCTCATTTGTAAATTTAAATGTTCAGTTAAGAGGTTACCTAATAATGTTAAATATTAACATATATTTCAATACTTGTTGAGGATTTGTAAGTCCAGTGATAAAAGTCGGCGGTCTAACAGCAATACTTTGTTCAATTTTTGTAACCCCTTTATTTTCATCACGTGGTACAGTGTAATCTCTCAACAAACAATGATCATCACATTCATCTAATACTAAATTGATTTCTTCGGCTTCTGGACATTCTCTGCTTGGACAAGGACTCCACCAAACCTAGTACAAAATTTGCTCATAAAAATACAACTTTCAACTCTTATTTGGTATATTCAGTATAGGTATTGTGCATTAAAAACATATTACCATGACCTATATCCTTAAGGAGAAATGACTTAAGTTTAATACATGGTATCTTGAGAAAAATACACTTTTGTGTTAGGTAATGTTTGACAGTCCTTAACTTCGGTCTCCATAAATAATTTATTTTATTGCAAAATACATATTTTCTTTAGATAATATACCTAATTGATGAATTCAAAAGAACAATACCTATGTATACATTTTAATTTTAAATTCTTGTTTACCAACATATTTTAATTTCTGTTAAGTAATAATTATTTCCCACTTTTTGCTTAGCAAATAGAATTATTTTAATAATATTATTATTCTAATATGGCAATGTTGTAAATACAATGACAACAAACGATAGGTTGTTGGTAAATTTCAGCAAAAATGCAAGGTCCAAAACATTATAGATTTATAAACAAAAATGGATTATGAGGACATTTAAAAATTTAAGATAAAACACTAGAGATAGAAAAATATAGAAGATACTACTAAGATTACTACTTATAATCTACTAAGTAATCCCAAGTTACCACCAATTATTTTTCTGGTGATCCTATTTTTTTGTTATAAGAAATTAAGAACTGAAAGGATATAGGACATAGGATGTATTACCATAAACATGTTTTATGGTATGCCTTAATGAATTTATTTTTTTATTCATTTATTTTACTAGATTTATCTTTACTTAGATTGTTATCAGAACAGTGTTCAATATTTGACAGCGGATATCTAAATTGTATGTCTCCATATGGTATTTTATACTACCTAATGTCTATTAATCACTATATTTTTATTGTTTATGTACATTTATTTATATCTAAAATAATGACCGCGAGGTCAAAGAGTACTGTACAAATATATAAAAAGAATAATATACATAATCTAAATATGCATAAGCAGGTATCAAATTCTTTAACTAATAAGGCTATTAATGAAAAAGAAATTTAAATCGAATAAATGTTCAATATGTTGGTACCTATATGTGTATAACCAAGGCAATTCACTATCTTAAATCATAATACTTTCAAATTTCCAACTTAAATTTATTTTTTTATAGATTTATTTACTTGTACATAAATAATGAATACTAATAATAGGAATGTTTGTTTTATTTCTAATTTAGGAAAGTTATAACTTACAATTATTGAACATAACATTCAATGGTATAATGTATTTATTTTTTAAAGCACAATATCCACAGTTCAAAAGATTTTAATTTTTAATTACATCAACTTTTCCAGATTCTGGATGTCTCATTACATATGCTGATGGTATTGCTCCAGGTGTTTCCATTTGAGGTATTAATATCAATGAATGATGAAATATAGCATTTAATGCCAGTGATATAAATAAAACTGGTTTATAATGACCAAATTTATCTACCAGAAATCCTAAATCCATGTTTTATAAAAAACAACTATTATAATAAATTATTATGAACAATTTTAAAATGTATAATTCATTAGGTGCATAATATTTAACGTTTGGTATGATTATAAGTACCTGAAACAGGTGGAGCTAAAAACGTAGTCAATGGCAATGCCAGATAAACAATCGCAATTTCTTCTACAGACAAACCAATACTTTGCATGTGAATAGTTAAATATGGAATTAATGACGAAGTAGCTATAAAGTAAATATTATGTACAGAAATAAAATAATTTAAACAAATAATTTACATACATACAATATAATTTCATATTATTATATTTGGCTAATCTAGACTTACCTCCATACATTAGAAATAAAGTAATTTTTAACATAATAAGATTATAATTAATATTACACTTTTTACAAAATCTCTGTATTGGACCATCTTCAGTTTCTATTTTCCCAGACATTTTTTCGAACCTGAAGACTTTGTTAGAATGAGTGAGTACTGATGTCTTATAAATAAGGATGGATGATTTTTGAGGAAAAACATGAACATATTTAAAATAGCTTATCTTTTATGATTTACCATTTTATATAGGTACATGCTAATATGCTATTGTTTCATTGTTTGTTTTTACATAAACTATGATATCATGATTTACAATATACTGAAGTTAATTAAGATAACTAAAATGAAGTCTAATAAATGAGCCGTTTATTTTGATAATACATTTAATGTAAACATTGTATGTATAATAAAACAACTATGGTTTCATAGTTACAATAATTAAATTAGTTATACATAACACATCTTATTATGCTCCATTCTTTAATTTATTGACCAAACCGCTTAAGGAATAATTACTGCTTGGATTAGTTAAAGCAACAAATTGTTGTGCAACTTCTTCAGCAACCTGAAATAAAACACAATATTCATTTTATGATTATAAAATCAACATGTTTTGAACAGCAATATTTTTCCTACTCAAATTTGATTATTTTATGACAAGAAATATACTAAGAATTGGTAAATAAATTAAATAATTRTATAACATAAATATTAAAATTGCTTAATTTACTTTCACTTGTGCTTCAAAAGTGGAAGCTCCCAAATGAGGAGTGGCAATAACTTTTGGATGTGAAATAAGAGTTTTAAGTTCAGAACTTTTTGGTGGTTCTTCTGTCAAAACATCCAATCCGGCACCCCCACATTTTTCATTCTATTTATTTAACAAAACATTAATATCAATTACAAAATTAAAACTATAAATAGTATTATTATACTCACATTCAAAGCTCTTAGAAGCGCAGCTTCATCCACAATACCACCTCTGGCTACATTAATAATCTTTACTCCCTTTTTACATTTATTGAATACATCATCATTGATCAGATCTAGTTTGAAAAAAAAAATGTTTTTTTTATGTAGTTTAAGTAATAGTTCAATGGTTTTTAATATTACTCACTTCTTGTTTGTTCAATCAAAGGTGTGTGTATGGTAATATAATCAGCAATAGGCCAGATCTGTTCTAAAGTTAATAATTCCACTCCAAATTTTGCTGCCGCTTCTTTATTGATAAATGGATCATATCCTACAGTCTAAACATAAAAAATACCACAAATTCTTAATTAGTTAATTTTAAAAATTATTATTGTTCATTATTGATATACCTTCATACCAAATGCTTGCATTCTATAAGCCACTTCGCGACCAATTCTACCTAAACCAAGTATACCAATAGTTTTCTCTTTGATTTCAGTTCCCATGTAGAGCTTTCTATCCCATCTTCCTTCTTTTAAAGATTGACATCCTTGAGGTACATTTCTAAATGTAAAATTTTAGTATGATCATTTCTTGACTAATGTTAACATTAGCTGAATAATGCAGAAATTATCCAATTATTAATATTCTCAGTAACATCTATATCATACAGTGCCCCATATCTTAGTATACGTGTTATCATACCTTAACCATGAAACTAATTGTAATTTAAATTTAAATTTGTTAGTGAATATTTTAAAACAAAATCAGATTAATGTTGTAAAGTATAATTTTTAAATATTATATAAATGTATTAATGTGTTAAAGATGTTTAAAAATATAAAAATAAATAAGCTAACATATGAATCAACTTAAAATATAAAGACCATGTTTTAGATTTTTAATCAGTTGCTAAGTCAATTTTAAAATAAGGTACCATGAAATTTAAAGAATATAATGATAACTACTTTACTGATGTTATTTTATTGTCATACATTAATACTTTTATATAATATATTATAACCTTACATGTTTTAAGTAAAAGCTAGTTTAAAATATTATCAGATATCATTTTAAAAAAGTTGAATTCTACATCTTTTTTTTTTTTGAATATAGATTACTATAATAGATCAATATTATCTAACAACAACTAACATTAATAAACTAATGCCAAATTTCCCATAGCCTAGAATATGTAATACTATATTTTGAATAGAAATAACTGATTTAAATGTTAGATATGAAATAAACAGTATAAACTTAAAAATAAATAAATATTTTCAAATATAATTTAAGATTTAAACTTACCGAGCCAAAGACAATATTAACGTACATGTCAGTTCACAAGCGCTATTTGAGTTTCCACCAGGTGTACTATAATAAAAAAGATTAAGTTAGAACTAAAATTATTACATACGGCATAATAACAATTTAAATTTGATTACATGATGAGATTTTTCAAAAATGTAAATATTAATATAATTTAAGCAGCAATAGGACAACTTTATACAATCTCCCTCTTACCGCTATAAGTGTACACAAGTTCTAAATTGTAATTATTACTAATTTATAATGCATGCTTTTATTATTCAATCTTTTTTAAAATTTTTTTAGAAAAATGAATTTTCTGATTTAAATTACTAATTGTTGATTTTTTACTTAATAATAACACAAACAAATCTAAAATACATTATTAAACAGAAGTAATATATAATTATTAAAATTGAACCACTTTAAAAATCTTTTAAAAAGATACATTTAAAGCATATTTTGATTTTTATACTAAGGGGATTCGATACCTTGATTTTCTGTTTTGTCTAACACATGTGTGACTTTGGATTTTAGACGTGTTTTTTACTACCAACGTACCAACTGTAGAAATGAAACGATAAGAATTCTAAAAGTCAATTTGAATTTATTTAAAAGACTAATTGAGATCGACATTCCTACATTTTTGATTTTATCCTCYTCAAATTCTTAAAAAATAATACATTAAAAACAAGTAATAAAAATATTGTTATATTTCAATTTTAGGAGAATTAAAATAAAATTAAAGAGGAAGTCAATTTCAAGTAGGCTTGTCAAGCCTGGCTTGATGACAAATTCAAATCTGTTTTTAGATTTAGAATTCTTATTGCTTCACTATATCAATTTTGGTATGTTTGGAAAGGAAAAGAACACATCTAAAACATCCTATGTAGCATGTATATTTGAGAAGGACAGGAAATCATGCCATCAAATTCTCTCAATAATTTATACCAGCTGAAAACGTGCACTTCATAGTCCATTAAAAATCATACCTCTTATATGCATCAAAATCTGTGTTCAATTCGTTTCCTGTGATTATGCTAGCAGTATATTTTTATACATATAGATAGATAATGCTTAAAATATAAGCTGTATTAATCGTTGATGACGGCCGATGGGTTAAAGTGACAAAAAATAAGATTGTTGAATAATTGTGTGTGTGTATATATATATATAAAAGTGGCGTATCTAAAGGGGTAATATAGGGTGATAGATCCCCCCCTGGTCTCTTATTGAACTACCCCCTCCCTTTAATAAAATCAAATGTTAGCTAACGTATTTCCCCCCTTGACAAAATCCAAAATACGTCACTGATAAATAAATATGTTCCTTGTGGTGGGGCGCAGTCATATGCCCAACTGCGGAAATTCTTTGAGTGTACGTACCGGCCGGTGTTTCTAGCACTCAAATGGGCGACCGCCCGGATTTAGAGCAACAAATCCTTGCCACACATTCATTACGTGTTCCAAACCAACCGTTTCCCCCAACAAACAGCTAATAAGTGGCAAAAACTAATTAAAATTTAGGGAGGCGGCAAAACAAAAATATTCAATACCTATCTCTTAAAAATTTTTCGATGTGCTAGCATAATATACAGGGTGATTCTTTTATCAAACAACACTCATTATTCCAAAAACTATTGACTTTTTCAAAATTTTAGAACCATCTTATTCTAGAACTATATATTTTTTAAATATTTTCACCCTTATATTTATCAGGTTAACCATTATCAACTTTTGATTTTCAAATGACAACATATACTTAAAATTTCATAAAGTAAAAAGGCTATTTTTTCAATGAATTTTCACGTTTAAATTTTCATTTTTCGTTAATCTGTTTTACGTTTACAAGATATAGCCTCCCAAAGTTGGGTAGTGTTTGTGTGTTATAGGTGTATGTTAGGTGGTATTTACACACAAAGTGTTTTTTGATAAAAGAATCACCTTGTATACCTACTAAGTACTAATAACAACCTTGTTMTAAAAAAAACATAAAAGTTGGAATAAATAATRAATAACAGATATAAATTATAATAATTAATAATAGGTACAATTTATCAAATAAAAATAGAAAATATAATTTACTTTGTGATATTATAACAGTTAAACAGTGTCTACCAAAATTTTTTTTTAACCATTACCTAATCTAAAATGCATTTCCAAAAAAGCGGGTAAGTCGTGGATGTCGCTCTGCTGTACAGTAGGTTACTGTAATGGATGGGATTAAATT